CTAATGACAATGTCTAGTATTGAAAGGAGCAGCAATCAGCAACTCTATGAGCTGTACCCCACACCCCAGCTAATGCACCTCTCCTGCAGCGTGCCTGTAGTATTTAACCTGGAGCAATTATTATGTAAAGCCTAGTTGAGCAAAGTCTGGTTTTTTACGGTGTTCATGAAGTGTTTGAGCAAGGTGTTGGACCTGGTGTCAAATAACCCCAGTACACCACTGAACTCCTGCCCTCTGCAGAGCCAAGGGTTTGCAGAGGGAGAACTAGATCAGTGAAATGTCATCATTGCCCAGCTGGCTGCCAATGCATCCAGGGATAACTACAGCCCTTCTCCAGCCTCATCTGAACAAGGGGCTGGACAGCCCCCAGCAGGTTCATCCCCACTGCCTCACTCTGTGATAGAGATGGGGAAACCAAATCACTGATTGTTCATTAAGTGACACATAAAAGAGGCACAGCAATATAGTAGGAAATATTAAATAGAGATCCTCAGCTTTGTGCAGGGCAATTATACCAATCTAGAGCATCCAGAAGGTCTCAGCTAATGCAGTGTAACTGAAACAGCAAAGCAGGGACTATGCCTATAATCAGGTTGCAATAGCCAGCTCCCAAAAGTAGCACCTAGAAACCTCAGAGGATGGTGAGCCTCTCTGGAACAGCCCTGCAGCAGTGACCGGTCTGTTTTTAGAACAGGAGTATGACTCCAGCCCAGCAGCTTAGCATAATTACAGGAGTACTGGGATTGAAGAGAAGTACCCTTGGCACGGGAAGTGGCTTCCCTAGGGAAGACAGAGCATTCCCACCAGGCCAGCCACGTGGCTGGCAGCATGGTCAAAACAGGACGTTGTAGAGGATGGGTGGCCACTAGCGAAGGGGACAGACCTGCCAAGCATTTGCTTCAACCCTGTGAATCACCTCCAAACAAAGGTTTTAGTGGCAGCTTCAGGATGGGAGAGTCATCTCAGTTTTCACATGAGCAGGTGGAATCAGTGTGGACTTGCAGAGGAGTCTGTGAGGAACACATTTTCTACTAGGAAGTAGTAAGTGACTAACAACGATGGCAGTCACTAACAAGGCAACAAGTTAGGAAATAATGCCTAAAGACAGCAGCAGCTCCTCTGAGTAAGTGCAGACTGGTGGAGCATCTCCCACAGCTGCCTAAGTGGAAGGCTGGGCTTGGGCAGGTGCTGCTGGTGACAACTGGAGGACCAGGAATTGGTGCCACCAGAAACAACCAAGTACAAGGAGACCAAAGTACTGTTTACATGCAAAGAACATGTCAGCTGCAGGGTTTGTATGGTTTCAGTGCCACGGACAATAGAGTTGTGTGGGTGAACTGTCACTAAGGAAGTGTGGGTGTAGCTGATAGATTGCCAGCAGATAGGAAATATTCCTCCCTTCAGATCAAAAGGAGGTGGCAGGAGCATCACTGCTTGCACTCCTCAAGGATAGAAATAATGCAGCTGCTTTGCTGCTTTACTGACAACAAAGCATAACTTGTGCCTGTGGGACTTAATATGGCCCAAATTACTTTTTCCTGGAACAAGCCACTTGTGGAACTGACATAACCACAAATGAATACACAGGGTTATTTTAATAGCAGTTTACCAAAACCAGCCACATTTGGGCGTCTTTTTTTAAATCTCAACACGTTGTTAATGTGAGTATCAAAGGACCTTGAGTGACATCACCAGCTGGGTGACAGCTGTTTGGTCACATCCTTCCCAGTGCCACCACACTGAGTGACTGACAGGGCACAGGATATGGCCTTTGCTGGGACAGCATCACCACTCAATGAGCTTTCCATTGGGTGTTGCTAGCTGCATGGATTCAGGAAAGTTTGCTCAGACAAAGGATATGGAGTTCGTGTTACGCTTTGGCCTGACGTACCAACAGCAGCTGCTTTACCAGGAAACAGGACACTCACGCTCCCCCGCTCCCTCCCTTCCCTGGTCCCTGCACGTCCTTCTCTGCCCTCGCATCTGATTTAGCAGCTGTGCAGCTGCTGTGAAGCTGGATGAGCAAGCTGGTTGGGCAGGAAATTGTTCTTTTTTTGGTGGGCTTGTTTCCCTTGGGATCAGATCACTGACCCAACTTACCCTGCAGACACTCAGATGAGGGTGATGGGTAAGAGAGGAACACACTGGGGAGGGCCCATGGCCTGAGCTACAGGAAGGCGTGGCTGGCTGACGTCAGGGTTCACGTCCCTTGTCACTGTTTTGTCATACTCTCCCCTTTGCACTCCACCTCCACCTTCCTTTGGTGCATCACCAGCCTCTTTACAAGGAATGTCATTCGTCTGGAAATGGCACTGTTGATTTTCAGCCCCTCCTTCCTTGATAACCCAGCCAGATGGGTCACAGAGCAGCACATCAGGAGACATTTACAGACTGTGGGAGCAGCTGAAATGGTAGATATCACCAGCAAAGCTGTGAATGTGGTGATGCCCGAACACAGAAGGGGCAGCTTGGGTCAGTCATTAGGAAAGAGAAGGGCTGGTTGGCTGGTTTAACAGCCAATAAATGGTTTCACGTTACAGATCACCTGAGTACCTACTGACGCTTAACAGACTTGTTGGGAGGTACAAGGTTCAATTATGGCCTGGAAATAATTTCAGTACACTGGTAATGTGACCTGATCTGAGTCATTGGCATAATGCAAATGGGCAGAAGAGTCAATGGACAAAGCTGCTCAGCACCCTCCTTTTCCAAAAGCAGCTTACCTAGTTTCCAAACAGAGCTAGAAAAGCACTGATGCAAATTCATATCTTCCAGCAGTACATCTTCATTTATTTAGTAGCTTTCCGATGACGAGTGCAGTTTTCAGAATAAGCAAAACCCACGCTGTTATGGGATAGGAAACACTGCCTACAGTGTATTGATTTTTACAAGGCAAATATTAGACGACAAGTCCACTGCCAGGAGACATTTTACCATTGATTAAGGTAGCCAGCTGAAGGCACTGATTTTGACAATATTTCAATACCATCAAACAGAGACACCTTCCCAAACTAGTTGGGATTCTGACTTAGTCAAGAATCCAGTATATTTGAGATGAGGGTTAGTTTTAAGTTTGTTTGTTGCAGCACCTTTCTTGCTGTGTATTTTATAAATATTCTGCCCCTCTCAGGCACTACCAGTAACAGAGAAAACGTTTTACTGGCAGCAGGCACAACGCAGCAGCAGCAGCTGCAGCTGGTGTTGTTACTGACTGCAGTTACTGGACTTACATTTTGACTGGGGCCAGACAGTTCCGATTAAAGCAAGGACTTTAACTGTTCTTGCTTGAACAGCTTTAACTTTCACCTAAAATTTGCCCAAGATTCAATGAAATTTTAGTTAGAGTACATGTGTGTTCCTAACTAAGCCACAGTTCCTAGTTTAATCTCTCCCAGAGAGACGGGGATGTATTTCTTGCAAATAGGGATGAAGCAAGGGAGCACTGTGATTGCCTCCTGCTGCAGTTTCAGATACGCCAAAAGACTTGGATAAGCTGACGTAGTAGGTTATTTCCCTTTCCCAGAGTCTGATGACTGATGATAATTACTTCTATTCTTGCAATCTTTCCCAATGACCGTTTCTATTTACTGCCATAGCTGCAGCATTACAAAATTCGGGGAATCCTTTTCACCCACATTTTCTCCTTGGCAGGAGTAAATGAAGTCAGCAGTATCGGATGTCTTTTTTTCTCCATCATCCTTCCACGAACTAAGAACCCAGTTTGTCCTTGGTCACTAAGAGCTGGATCTAGTGGACAGAAAATAACTGTGAGATGACCATGGAGCCAGATTTTTGGTTTGAAATGCCTTTGAAATGTAGCTTTTCTGTATCACCAAATGACACCAATTACTGGTGGGCACATCTTGAGCTGCATGCTGCCAGCACAACTTTCCTTCCATTAACCTCTGCAGCAGCCACTTTCCTCCCAGGGGGGAGCATCTGGTGTGTTTTCTAAAATAGATTGCTCCCACAGGCAGCATTTACGTTTCCAATTAACTTTTCATAAGAAGCCGGGTTTGTCTGAAACCAAGCTGATGTTGGAAGCTCAGCCAACATCACTTCAGTCACATCACGCCTGCAGTAATGACACCTTGCTTTCTTTCAGGGTAAGGATCAAGCCCTCCAAGACCTACAGCTCTGCTGGAAAGTCTCAGCTTCAAAAATTTCCCTCATTTATCATAGAATGGTTTGGGTTGGAAGGGACTTTAAAGATCATCTCCTTCCAACCCCCTGCCATGGGCAGAGACAACCTTCACTAGACCAGGCTGCTCAGAACTCCATCCAGCCTGGCCTTTACCACCTCCAGGGATGAGGCATCCACAGCTTCTCTGGGAAACCTGTGTCGGTGCCTGACCACTCTCACAGTAAGCACTTTCTTCCTAATATCTAATCTAAACCTACTCTCTTTCAGTTTAAAACCATTCCCCCTCGTCCTGTCACTACATGCCCTTGTAAAAAGTCTCTGATACAAAAGGCTAACTGGTACAGCTCTTGATTTAGACCCAAAATAAAGCACAGTGATTTACATTACAAGATACCTGAGCACTCTGTAGGTGGCTTAAAGCATTTTTCTTTCTGACTGGTATTAGGTAGTATATCCAAATCATTGGTTAATAGCTAGATCTGATGCCAAGGGAAATCATTCCAATTACTTCAAGGACTGATCATATATTTCTACCCATCAGTTACAGCTTTGATAGGAGTTACCATCTGTAAAGACTGTGTTTAAAATACAAATACTCATTAGTATTAAAATAAGACATATATGAAATAGCAACCGTTTTGAATAAATAAATATTCTCCTCAAGTTTAGCCTTTCAGAAAAGCCTGAAATTCAAATCAAGTAATCAGCCATAGAAGCATTAACTTAATCTTTCTCATTACTCCACCTGAGTATCCGGATGGGGATTTTGTAAGAATGCAGCTAAATACGTTGTTTATTTATTTTTTTTTAAATGTTTATTTATTTTTTAAAATGAAACTTGTAAAGACATGGAAATTGAAGAAAAGCAATACTTAGGAAAGGCTCAACAATTGCAGAAGAAACAAAAGCAAAATAAATGTATACATTGAAGTTATGCTTACAATTCTTTGGTCTTCAAGATTAACCAACACTGTTCTAGGAAAAAAGTATTATCCCAAACATAAAAGGGAGATTTTTTTTCTGCACCATTGAGGATAACTGTTGGACTAGGTTCTGGACCATTAATTTTGAGTTAATTAGGCATAAGTGCAAACTGCAGTGAAAGTTGTGACTTAAAACTTTAACCCTTGGAGAAGAGCCTGCCATGTTTTCACGGCCGGTGTGGTGTGGCTGATGGGGCAGTCCTGGCAGTGGAGGCACCTTTCCTTCTGTCCTGGAGCAGCCCCAGGTTATCAAGAAGCTTTTCTCACTGCTGTACCTGCTGTTCTCAGCCAATATCAACTTTCCAGCTCTGCAGATTTCTGGTTTGGTTTCCTGAAAGCTTTGTGTCGAGTAGCCACGTCTGAAAAATGGTTAATATCTTCAACAATTACAGTCGTGGGAATAGGCGAGTGACAAGAAGATTGACAAGAAGGTCTTCCCGCTTCCCTGGTACCTGGTCCCCTGTATGGACATGTGGGAAATGGAGATGAGAAACTTCGTTTTGAGGACACGTAAAAAGAACCAAGGAAATACACCTTAGACTCGGCTCAGCTGCACAAAATGCCAGCCCAATTTTGTTACAGAAAGGGAAGTTATTGCTATATCTTTCTTGCTTCTCAAATTAAAATGAGGCCTTTTAAACAGAGTAGAGGATTTGCAAAAAAGATGGTTGGTAAAAAGACTGGCATTTATAAATGTCAGCATAACAGAATTTTCTATCCAAAATACCCTTTTAGTTCCTCAGTCTGGGAAAATATGAAGCAATTCAATGAGGTTACAGTGATGCTTTGATTTACTAGGGGAAAAAAAGGTTTTAATTCTTTCCACAGTTCCATTAAACATTTTTTTTTCATAGGAGAATTTGCTGGAATAGTTAATGTGGAATAAAATAATCCACAGTACTCAGTCCAGGATAGAAATATTCAGATGCTGGTACACAGCTGTTTTTTGCTTACTTAGTTCAGCCCATTCAAGGAATTACATTAAGCTGAAATGAAGTTACATTTGGAATAAAGTACCAGGAACACAGACATTCAGGAATCGCTTTAAATTTTAAAAAAAACTGAGTTAACTCCAGAGCAATTTCCTAACACTAGATCTTATTTTATTGCCATACGTTACTGGGAGGAGATGGAAAATAAAGACATACAAAATCCCCAGGCAACACTGGAACAACTTTCAAAAGCAATTTTGGCTTCCCTGGGCTCCAGCTGCCTTCAGTAGCCAGTGCTTAAGAGAAATCCCAATATCACATTGGACAACTTTCCCTTTCAGAGATTTGTTTCCCACAGAAAAGCCCATGGGAACAAGATGATAAGCAGAAAGCCCTGGATTGTGAAATCAGATCCATGTTCATCTCCCCGCTGGTCTGGGAGCTGGCAAAGGGTCTGTTCTCAGGAAGGGCTTCACACCTTGTTCCCCAACAGTCAGTTCTGAAGGGGTTTAATATTTTATGCTGAGGAAAAGAAGTAGCAGAGGGTCCTGTTTATAATTTTGCAAGTAGTGCAGAGAAGTTTAAAAAAAACCCAAAACAAACCCTCCTTGCTTCACACAATGCGGGAAGCGTCTGGCACCCAACTGCATCGGCTGGGAGGCAGATCTAAAACAAACAAGCGGGAACACGTCCTTGCACACTCTGTAATTACACTCTGGATCACCCAGAGGCTGGAAGTATCAACAGCTTTTAAGATGTGACTAGCTAGATTAAAAATAAAAATTAAAAAAAAAATGAAAAGCAAAAAAATAAAATTAGGCTGAGTGATTATTAGAGCCGATGGCCCGCTTGTGAGAAATCTCCAAGCAGTGGTTTGCAGCCAGAGCACAAGCAGAGAGGGATCATCTTGTCTTTGCCATGATGAGTTAGGCAATGAGCAGAGATTTGTGCCACTGTGCAGAGCACCCTTAAGAGTTAAGGGGTTCAATCAACGTGCAGATCTAGGAAAGCGAATGGGTTAAAGCAAAGCTGGAAAGCTTCTCAAGACTTTGCTGAGGTTGTAATTAGGACTTAGGAGCTTCACATTTTCCCTGTCCCTGCTGTATGCTCTTGTGAGCACACACAGTCAGTGCTGCCAGTTGCTGAATTCTGCAGAAGAGGAAGGAGCAAAAACAGCAGCCATTCACAAACAGTAAGAAATCTGTGTGATTGGAAGTTCTCTTTCTGCATTATCACTGCAGGAGCCCAGGACAAGCTTATATATCACGGACAAGCACATACACTCCAACATGAAAATACTTGCCCAGCTTTATGTCAGGGATATATTTCTATATTATGCCAAAGTTGCTCGCACACCCAGAGCTTGAATAGCACAGCGCAAGGCACTTAAGAAAAAGGCAAACCCAGCATTATGCCGCAAAAATGCGGTCTGAAAATCATGTGCTATTGTCAGAGACTGGAATGTAGTCCCACAGCAGCGTAACTGGGGACTTCCCATCTATATTTAGGATGTTGCAATCCTACCCTCTCGCCCACATGTCCTCACCCCCAGCGGGATGCCAGCTGTGGCATTTCTGGCACAGAAAGCAGCCAGCTCCCTACACCTCCTTCCACCTCGCTGTCGCAAGTATCAGCTGTTGGTTGGGGTGAGAGCGTGTGGCGAGGCAGGGCTTGGTGGCAAAACTGTTCATCACTTCCAACTACTGAAGTGGTTGAGAGAAAGGTTAAGAAGTGACTCAGAGCTGTTGAATACTTGATAGCACACAGTGCTAAACCTACGTGCGTGGTTCCCAGAGGAGCTGTTTGCACTGCACCCGGAGCCTGACCCACAGAGTGGGCCTTGATAACCTCTTGTGCTGCGAGTCACACCAGGATTATTAACAACCCTGCAGCTGATTATGCTTCCCCTGCATGTCCCAGTGGGCACGAAGGTGATATTTACACGGTGGTGCACATTCCCACAATTCCAGCCAACAGAAGCAGACTCATATTGACTCCCCATCATCACACACATTACAGAAAGGTGCATCTTTCACTGCTCACACACCGTTCTGCAGAAAACCAAAAGGAACTTTCAGTTTAAAAATAGAAACCTGATGCTCCCTGCTTGTTTGAATTGCTGTTCACTTAGGCCAGCCCAGAAAGCTTAGGTGCAGTCTTTGTTCTTGCTCTGTCGACTTAAGACTTACTCAAACAAGTGTCAGACGGCTCAAGGCTTTTTTTAGTGAAGCCCCACGTACACCCAGCACTCCCACATACACTACTCATTATGCCACTTCTTAATATTTTCCGCATCAGTCACTGCTGCAGCCCAGGATGTGCACATTGAAATTTGCCTTTCCCTTTTGATTCATTTGGAGATGCCATCGTGCACAGCTGCGGGTGTCAGCGCGGTGGCACTTACACACCCTCATGACACAGCTTCCTGAGCAGAGCAGTAAAAGTAGGGCCGTGAGGCAGCGGCAGAAAACAATCACAGCATGTTAATTAATTGGGGATTTAGCAATACACTGTAGTGAGATTATCTGACAAGGTTTGGGCAAGGAAAATGGAAAGTGAAAGTTTAAGACTTAGAACCAGAGGTAAATTGAAAGCACGTTGCACTTGGACAGCATTTCCAACTTAAGGAATCTTTTCTGCTTTATGAGAGCCCTCAGTTATGGGAGCTGTTGTTTAATATGATTAATTCAATTCTCTTTTAAAAACATGTTTATAGCATTTGTGGTTGCAGAACAAAGACTGAAATGTGACTTCCAAAAGCACAGAAAGCTACTACATACAAGGCTAATAACCCTCACTTTCCTCTCCAACCCGTATTCCTATTTTCTTATTATTTAAGAGGCTTTGACTTTTAAATTCTTACTGAGTGTTTCGGACTAACATAAAATGGTGCAATGCCATTGCCTTTGCCTGGAGCCCCTGTTGCTGCAGAGCAGAGGATCTGCTGGCAGGTGACAGATTCACCACTGTGGAACATTTAAAAATTATTATTTAGACCTAGTTGCAGAGGGTCAGAGCCAGACTTTCAGCAGCATCTCCTTAAAATAGCAACTGCTTTACTCAGTTTATAAATCTAAATACCATTTATGGACATAACCCCTCAGATGGGGGTGGGATCCCCTTTTGATGTATGAACCTTGTGTTTCAGACGCTGAGAATCAAATGAAACTGCCAAGATAAAGGCACATCATGGAAAAACCTACAGACAGACAGCAGAGGTGATATATGAGCGTAGGGCTGTGTACAGATCCAGAAACAGGCACTGCATCACTGTTCGTTTAACACCTCTGAGTGTGTAAGTACGAGAGGTGAAAGAGCCCCTGTCTCTGCCACTGTCCCTGGGGACACCCACGACCCAGCTCCTGCCATCAGCAGCAGGGACAGCAGATCCCAGGGCAGCCTGGGGTCGCAGCAAGGGCACACACAAAAAGCAAGAGGACTAGCACAGATTGCTGCAAGAGCAGGCAAGAGTTGCCTCGATGATGACAAAGCGATTGCACAATTAGCACAGAAAGAAACAGGCTGCTACGTTTGTCACCTCTCTAGGGAGTGTGGCAGTGCCTGTGGGTCCCTTGGTGCAACACTTTGCACTTGATTCAGTGCAATCAGCACAAGGTCCCACCAGTGAGGGCTTTGTTATGTGTGTAATTCTAAATGTTACCAGGACCTGATGATTTTCGGGGGTTTTTGGGTGTTGGTTTGGGGTTTTTTTGTTACCACAAGCTGGATACAAATAGTGTTGATCACATTTAGCAGTACATTATTCTGGCTTCCAGAGACAACTGGTGGAGTTGGACAGGGAGATATTAAAAATGCTGAGTCAATCCCAGGGTAAACGCAGTCCTTTCCTGAGGTGTACTGTCCAGTTCTCACACCTGCATCTATGTGGATCTAGGATCTGAGCACACAGATGTCACTGACCTAAACATGTTGGGTTTAGGTTGTTCACACATCTTTCTTCCATGTTGATGACACAGCAATGAAAAATTTAAGAGAACGAAAAAACAAAGTTCAAGCAGAACCCAGAACTCAAACATTCTACGTAAGAGTCTCTGAAACAGCACATTTTTAAACAAGTGCTGTAGTTTAGTTCTAAACCTGGTTGCATCTTTGTAAATGCAAGAGGCAGACAATAAGTAAGCATAATTAGATATATTTGTATTTTCCATCTAAACATTTCAAGAGTCAGAAAGAGGATCGGGTAGGACTGGGTGCGCAAGAAGTTAATGTACTACAACGTTATTTATAAATAAATTCTCTCAGGAATGATACAAACAACTTTTCTAACACAAGACTTAAATTCTTGCCATATTTTCCTTAAACACTTCGAGGAGTTTTGATTATTCTTTCAGCGAAAATGCCAGTGTCTCATACAAATCTCTGAGAGAGTTCAGCAAAGCGCTATGAAGTGATGGTCTTCATTGCTTTTGCTCTTTGCTGCTGTTGCTGGGCTCTTCAGAGGAACTGCCTTACAGCTAAACTTCAAGGTGAGAAAAAAGTTTGACAGCAGCTGAAAGAGTTTGTGGCTGCAAGACACACAAACAGAGAGAAGTGCTGCAAGCATAGGAAGGCAGAAAGACATTTCCATGACCAGCCAGATCCTACTCTAGGGAAACGCAGGTTTTGTTTTGGGTGCTCTGGCTCGGAAACTGTTCTGCAGCTGCAGATTTCTGCATCTGTTAAGTGAATACTTGAGTCCCTTTGGTCTGTGTGAAGTTTTGCACTTCTGCCTTCAAATATAGGGCAGAGCCCCACACCTCCTCCTGCCACCAAGCTCGGATCGCTGGCTGAGGTTGTGACTCCTTCCCTGCATCACTGGAGATAGACTGCTCGTACATCAGAGATTACTGCAAAGTCCAGACCAGACCATTCTTGTTTGGGGAGAAAATGAGAAAGTACAAAAGGTGACCGTGGGTTATGTTTATAGACATTCTGTGCAACAGCAAAGCTGTACAGAAACTAGAGAATGCACAAGGGCACCAAAAAATACCAGTTCCATGCGGATTTCATATGTCACCTACCTGTGAATGATCTGCACAGAGATGGGGGTAGGAGCTGGCCACAGCTGTGCCCAAACTTGGACAGCAGTGCGCATTTCAAATGTCTTTGGAAATCAAAGCAGTACTTAAATTCTAGATTTAAAGATCATGTCTTGATGTATTTACTCAGGGAAGACTAAGCAAAGTTTTACAAGCAACCATAGTTCAAGCGTTTCTTTTTGCATGCCCAGTTTTGGACCCGTGATTACGTTCTTCTGACACAGATGTACATGCATAATTTATGCACTGATGCAATATCTATCAGTGTAATACACAATGCTCTCTGACATTCACCAGAAATTCTCAGGGAGGAAATCCTGATGGCTTGGTACTGCCATCGTGCAACCTGCCCTTCCTTCCTGCTTTGTACAGTACAGAAAGTACAGGGCACATCCTTTGCCATCAGCTGTACATCCAACAGCACAGATCCCTTCTTATTCACTTTCCCATGTGGTTCAGGCTCATTTACACTGTTCACAAATAGATACACCGTGTTGTCAGACGCGATTTGATGGCATAAAATAGAAGTTACCTTATCTCTCTCCTGGCGTGCTCTATGCCCTTCTCTTTGTGCTTAGTACACAAACAGCAAATATGTGCCTTTAGTGTGGTTTTTTGGTTTTGAGATACCCTGCTACTTCTAGCTAAGTAGCTCTGAATGTTTGTGCTGGATCTCTTGGAATAATTCATCTTGCAGTAGGGTCAGTAGATTCTCACAATTGACTTCAAAACAGTTTAAATCGAACCAATAACTTTGAACCAAATACTTCTTATTTTTTTTCAATAGAAACAGTACCTCTTGATACTCTTGTTAATGCTTTATCCACCCATCATGACTTTTGGTACAGTCTGTGACTGGGATTACAAAGGTTTGGAAAATGCAGGGGAGGGAATGGAAAAACCCTAAAGCTTCTGGTTTGGGATCTATCTGAAATGCATTGATGGATGCTGATAGCATGCAGGAACATAGTTAGAAAAAAAACACCCAGTGCCACCAAGATGTCTATAAAGAATACTGAACTTTGCTCTTCCACATCCAGCACATTTCAAAGGGGGCAAATTATAGTCTCATATATTATACTGGGGTTTTTGCACTCACTGTTATTCTCAAATAGTTTTTAAGATGAAAAGACATTTTTTCCTGTAGATGGAAATGCCAGTAACTTTGAAAGCAGGTTTCATTATATACCTACATTCAGTTTTTCAAGTATTAGACGTTTGCACAGAGAGCTTTACTTTTGCCCCTGTATGCCAGCAGTGAGTGAGGCATTTACAATCAATAATGTCCAGCTCTGAGCTATAACCCACATGCCACCGAGCATCTGCTGTCTGCCCAATTCTGCTGTGTTTTGGAAACACTTAGTGGCCCCTGCAGCTGTTCTGGGTAGCTGGAAGATAACTCATCAATACATGCTCTGAATTTACACCTTCCCCATGTCACCCTTTGTTTTTCCGACCCGTGCTGCACATCTACCAAGTACTGCTGCAACTTGCTTTTTACCAAATGCAAACATCTCTGACAAAATATAAAGTCTCTTCCAGAGTGGAGGTCACATTGTTGTACAGCGAGAGCCTTGCTAATGCCAGGGCTGATTTATTATTGGCTGGCCATTTTGATCTGATAACGCTGTGTTGGTAGGTTGCTCACGTATTAGGATTAGTGCAAGACACTGACGAAGGAACACAGTGTTCTGCTCCTATTTATGTTTCTTGCTATAGTTCCCTCAAAGACTAACGTTATTAACTTCCCCTGTCAGACAAACGACACTCAATTACAGGTCATTTATACCTGTCTCTTACACTTCAGGAGTTATTAGAAGAGCTTAAAATCTGACAGAAAACTGAAGTATAAACATAGCAATGTGTAATACACATATTTACATCAAAATAGATGGTTTTGGATGGCTCCTGTCACAATTTAGGACCTCAAGCCACCAGCAAATCACTAGGAAAAATTATATTGATTTCAGTGGCCTTACTCGTGCTTTTCTAGACCTAAGGTCTCGGTGCTT